ACTACATGAAAAAAGACTAACATTTTCTCAATTCTCGTAGTGATAATTTTATTTTTGCACTATTCTCATAGGTGTCATTGGAACCTAAAAATAGCCACAAAGTTAAATAATAACTCATATTTGTGGCAAAGCACAAAGGTTGACACGATATAAACGATTCTTTGATTACGACATGACTCTTATACTACGACTTGAACTCTTATTTGGTATGATTTTATCTTTCAAAAAATATTTCAATTTTGAAATTTTAATTTCTAAAACTTCATATATATTATAATATGATTATCTTTATAATGATTCAAGTGAAGATATTNTTCTTCACGAACGCGTGCTTCCTATCGCGTTCGCGATGCTTTAGACTCCTGAACAGTACTCAACATTTCAAAAACGAGGTTTTGCCATTTTTATCAAAACTCAAGGTTTGGAGCTCGGATTTGGGAGCAATTTCAAGGGTTTTTCAAGGGCAAACCGGGTAACGATTCTCTACTCTCCTATGACTAAAACCCATTAATCTAATCGCAAATTCACCCTTTAATTTCGTGTTTTTGAATGGGAAGTGGATAAACTTCTTAGACCTAACTATGGGGTTTTGAGGGGTCATTTGACCTCCGATTTGGGAGATTTTTATATGGTTAGAATCGTGAGTGTACGAGGGTTCTGAAAACGTAAAAATTATCCGATTCCGAGATGATGGCTGGAGGGGCATTTTGGTCATTTTACCTATTTTCGCGCCCTAGCTCTAAATTTAATAGTGGAATCAGTTGTTTGCAATATTATTTACGATATGTAATTGAATTGAATAGATTTGGGCCATTTGGAGTCGAATACTCGTGGCAAAGGCGTGGTTTCTATTGATATTGAGCCAGTTCGAGGTAAGTGGCTTGTCTAACCTTGTGTGGGGGACCTTTCCTCTTAGGATTTGTTATTTGTTGATTTGAGTGCCTTGTACGCGAGGTGACGGGCGTGTACTTGAGCCAATTGTTGGAAAACCCGATTTTTCTTAAGATATTGAGATTGAGTTCCTTCCATATTTGCTTTATTCTACTTGAAATTATAACTTGTGCTAGATTAGGAAAGCATGTTTAGTTGATTTAACTTGCCTAATTGCTTAAGTTGCCTTAACTGTACTACGTGAAGCATGCTAGGTCAGTACTATCTGTTGCTTGTCTTTTGTACTTCGTTTTCGTGTACCTTCTGGTTGTGATTGCGCATTTACATTGGGACTACGGATGTGGGATTCCGGTAGCTCCCCCCCTCCCTTGTTTGTTTACTTTGGGACTACGGGTTCGATTCCCGGTAGATCCCCCTGCACTTTTACTTTGGGACTGCGGGTTAGATTCCCGATAGATCCCCCTGCACATTGACAGTTGGACTACGGGACGGTATCCCGAGAGATCCTTCGGGTATTCACATATGATGGACTACAGGGCGGTATCCCGGGAGATCCACTGGACGGTTGAGAAAAGGACTACAGGACGGTATCCTGGGAGATCCTCATTGTTACCATGGGTGTTGAGCTGCACTTATTCTGTGGTTGTTTCCATTCTTGTGTATTTTGCTATTGTCTTGTTTAATCTGTCTTATTTCAATGCTGTATTTATTATTTCTGTCAGATTATCATACTGTTAATTATTGTTATTACTATATTTTGTCTCAGTATGGCCCTGACCTTCCTCATCACTACCCAACCAAGGTTAGGCTTGGCACTTACTGAGTACCGCTGTGGTGTACTCATGCCCTTCCTGCGTATGTGTTTTTTTTTTCATGTGCAGATCATCTAGGTACCTCTACTCAGGCGCCCTATCAGTGAGGCAGGAGGACTACGGAGACTTCGAGGTAGATCTGCTGCGTTCGCAGACCGACGAGTCTCCCTCTTATTCTATCTTTAGTACTTAGTTTTTCCTTCTTTCGGTTGTTAGAAATTCTGGAGTTTGGAACCTTTACTATACAC